AAACTATAATAAATTACACTGAGATTGGATATATGAGAGAAGATGTAAGTGGGTGATGAAGTCACCACTAGAGACTGTTAGAGGAGACTGCATTATTGCAGATGCACCTTGTTTTTTGGAAGCTTGCTGAGCTCCAGAATCTTGTCTTATACATTTCAGGTGCTCAATAACATTTTAGTTACCGATACCCCAGTATCATTAAGCGTACTGACTTGCTCCCTATTTAAACCAGATTAATTCTAGTGATATGACTGAATAAATGAACACGCTGAGTACCTTTCCAACAAATATATTGTCTGCGTACACAGGTCTAAGTTTGCTAGATTTTTTTTCTTTAATGTCTCCTGCACACTTTAGATACACACTGAGTCATTTAATTGAAATTAGGTGCATACTGAAGAATGGGAAATGTCAAGATTCCCCTTATTTAGTGCATCACTTGTTTGAGGAAGAAGCCAAGTGGTGATCGAAGACAACTGGGGGTCACGTGACTAAGTTGCGGCATCTAACTTTTCAGGACTCACGCACACTCCTCTTCCACAGTACTTAAAATCCCAAAGCAACTGTAGAAGTTGAAAAATGTGCATACTTTTCTTTGAAAGAGTTCTTACTAATTTTGTTTCTTGATGAATAAATGCCAGCAAAGACAAAGTCAACTAATTTAAACTATTGCTTTTATTATAATTACACGGGAGCACAAATAAATAAGCACAAAATTATTGTAAAATATTGCCAATGCACTAAAGAAAACAATTTGTTTTCAAACAACATCTGGTTACTTCAGTAGTATCAAAGTACATTTATAATTACATGTTACCTAAAAAAATCAAGTACAAAAATTAAGAGAAATTAAAACATCAGTGTTTATAGTATTATATATATAGAAATGACTAACAACACATGAGTAGAGAAACCTGTTATCTAATGCTTATTTGCACAATTTTTCAGGCACATACCTGACATTTTTAATGAGTTATGAAAAATGCAATATGACATTCAGATTTTCAGATACGGTAAACATGTTAGTTGGAATGGATGTTAAATGGTTTCTTTTAAAAACCCTGTCTTTTAAAAATGTAGTGCCGTTATCCACTAAAAAACATATTATTTTATATCATTTTCTCAGTAGCTATTTGTTTCCATTTCTTGAAAAGAGCAAGAAAGTAAACATACAATTGCTAAATACGTAAACACATTTTTAGTGCAAGATAACAAGACCTGTGACTTTACTGTGCTTTGTTTTTTATAATCACAGTGCACTTTACACAAATTGCTACACTATAAATATTAACTTAAGGAGTTCCCAACAAAAGAAGTGCATACTAAACATTTCCATATATAGTATATACAGTATGTATACCGTATGTGGGTGTATACAGGTGTAAATGCAGATGCTTTTAGGGTGGGAAAACCCAGTCATATTTGGGAACAATTCAACACTTCAAAAAGATTTTCATACACATTTGCTTGAGATAAATTGAATATTTCTGCAAAGATGTTTCCCCTTAAATTTGAAACTTTATAATATTTAAAGGGAAACATAATCAGGCATTTCTTTTCCAGATTACACACATTTTGCTACGATGTAATTGACCCAAATATCAAAGGGTTTTAAATCAATCCAAACCCCAAGCCATAATGTTCAAGTCCAACATGGCAAAACGTGTTATCCTTTTATTGATTTACATAGACGGCAGTACATACCTATGTGTGCATATAGAGGTTTACACATAAACATATTTTATACTTAGACGTTAACTTTAATATGGTTTAGTACTTTATTTTGACTGTACACTTGATCTGAAAAAAAAGAGAATACCATATAAGCACATAAGAGATGTCAAATACATGTGATATTGTACATCTTCTTAAAAACGGTTTGCTTTGTTTTGAAAATATTAATGATCGCATAATTAAGCTCCTTGAAGGCAGAGGCCACATCTTTTTGAATGTTTAATGCCGAATGCTTCAGAAGTTTTTAAAATAACTGATATATCAGTTGCTCAATGATGAACTGTTAAATGAATAATGGATTAATAGGAAATTGTCCACATTCTACAGTTAGCTATCTCTTCCCATACAGGGAAGATACAATGAGTTAATCTTAAATACTATAGGTGTCATTTTTCTTTCACTTCCATTTAAGTTTGAAACACAATGAATTGTGAATTGCTATTCTATTCTACTTCTATTCCTTTTCAAGGAAGAATTGTCTCTCATCTTAGCTTAGTTACTGCTTAAATCATGGGAATCTTTTCTTAATTTCATCAGTGGCCACAATTAGCTTTCAAGCTCTTTTCTTTTAGGCATGAGATTCACCTTAAAATATAAGTGATACTAAAATTGCACTGTATGTGCATTGTTTTGATGTCTTGTTTAATTAGTTAAACAATAACCCAATAAGGTTGTTTAGTTTTGTTGACTTGATCACTAAACTCGCTCAAAAGAGTCAAACCAAACAGTGTGTGAAGACAAGGCTTAAAAAAAATTGTAATAAGAAAAATGGTTCTCAATTCTCTAGAAGCATTCAAAGAAAACTATTTGGAACCTCAGTGTCTCTGAAGTCCCAGTGTCACTATCTGGAAAAGTGAAGTTGTATCTAGTTGTATCCAGACAATTGCCATGTATTTGAAGTGTATATTCTTTTTAAAACTACAAATTTTAACCTCTTAATATTTTGTTTTCTTTCACTTTCCCAACCATTATACATGGATGGACATTAACCTTCATTTACATAAACCAATAACTTTCCACTCCAAATTTGCTTCAACAGCATAAACATAGGGAAAAAGTTTCAGTGTTTACATGGGGAACTACTGTTACACCTCAGAAGATGCTGGCTTCTGGCATTGGACAGAAATCCCGGATTTGATTTTTCCCTTCCATCAGTTCTAAAGAAATCTGTCTCTTCTCTACTAAGGAGTTTTTCACATATAAAAGCATCTTACTGACAGCCTATAAAATTCCGCTTCTAAAAAATTTGCCGTGAAAAGACCATTTTTCATAGGTATGAGCTTTCAACCTGATAACCATGCCATGATACGATTTGTTCTTTGGCACTACTAAAAAATATGAACTTTATCATTCCATAGTGTTCTGGCAGTAGGTGGAATTTTTTATCATCTGACCAAATTCATAGATTGAAGTGTCCTGACTGACTGCCACCAGAGAGCAAGCTTATTTTTCTCTCTATCCTAATGACCTCTTTTCCTCCACATAAAGAAACACTATGCAAAGAGGAAACTAATTCTAGAATGGCCGTTGCCATATAGGCTAAGCCACAATAGGCAGTTGTATAGGCACAGAATAGCAGTTCTTGAGTCAAATATCAGTGAAGCCACTTTTCCAGATCTTTTCATTACTTCCCATTGAAGGCAAGATTTGGAGAAATTAAATGGAAATGGTTGCCTAAGGTCAGATTTTCAAACAAGTTACTTTCTCAGAAAATAACTTGGTTGAAAAAGGAATGTAAGACACCTGGCAACAGCATGAGTTTGGCAGAACAAATGGGAATCGCTGAATCCAACACAAATTATTCTAGTACCTCTGTTTCCTTCTTGACAAGTGGCCAGCATTAAAAACTATCTTCTGCCTAATTCAGAGAGATATGGGAAAGATCGGCATCTGAAAAACATACTTGCATATGTTACGTATCATCATAAAGATGCTGAGAATTGATGTCTTATGTTTGATCAATTGGCTTGAGTATATGTTGCCATAATAACTTAAATCAGGATAACAACTTGGGTCATAAACACGCTTCAATTCTTATTTTATCTTAATGCATTTTCATCACTCTTAGATTTGGACTCCATCGATTGTTGGGTTTGAAACATAATCTACAACTGGTGAAACATGGCAGCAGAATTTATTTGAGCCACTTAAGATCAAGATCGCTCCATAATTTCTGTGCTTGTGATTCTGTTTTTTTACCATCTCAGTTATAGAAGCAAAACCCCAAACTTAAGTAAGCATTTTATGTATACAGTTCCCCCACTGAGGACTCATTCACGCGTACACGCGCACACGCAACAGGTACACAGGCTCCCACTTACCTTTTTTCCTTATTCTTTCAGAATTCTAATTGGACATCAAAATATACATTAATTATAAAATATTAAAAAATTATTTTATAACATTTCAAAGGCTTGAAAGGAACTATTACTGATAAAGCATTGCTAGGTTTTTAACAATATAGATTACAAAACTTCCCCAACTCCTGTTATATTTGGTTTTACTGAGCAGCTCTGCACTATTGCTGTCAAAACCCTTACAAGGAAAACCACTATGACAATAACTTCAACACATACCTTTTCTCTCAGAAATATAATACTAAATTGATTGTTAAAGAAGAACCACATACTGTCAGTTTTAGGAAGCATAAATAGTAATTTAAATATACAAAATATATGTGATAGTTTCCTTTGTATTCATTCGTGGCAATATTTATATCCAACTAACAAGTTACTCTTAAAGATATATATATGATTTGTTTAACTTCAAGTTCACCACCACAGAAAATTGAATCCACCCCATCCCCTTTCCCCTGCATTTCCTGTTTCTTCCTTAAAACAAAATAAAATAAACAAGCGGTCATAATTCTTTGGTCATGGTGTCATAATCATTAAGAATGGTATGATGATCATGCACAGAAGATTACGACCCCAAAATGTGGTGAAAACTAGTTTGAAAAAATTAACAAGTGTTAACAATAATTCATTAATGGACTTCAATTTTGAGAAAAATTGGCATTTAGTGTACTAAAATACATAAACTCATCTGGTTGAATGTTTATTTCTCATTTTCAAGGGGAAACAAACATACACATGAAAAGTTACTTAAAAATAGTGATTGCAGTGGCCGTAATACCACTGGTCCCACCTTCTTGCAGGTCCTGCTGTTTATCTTTTGATTCCTTGTTCTTTCCATCATCACAGTGAACCCTGGTCTCCTCCAATCAGATCAATGATGCAAGGACACATGTCCCTAAAGTCATTTCTGAAGGAAATGTTTTCTGCTGGGATGTCCAAATATATCCTAAGAACTTTCTCTGGAGTCTGACTAACCATTGCTTAATATAAACAAGATGATATTGAAGAGAAATCCTTATAAAGCCAATGTAGCAAAAATATTGGTGTTGATATAAGGTGGACATCCAAGTTAAGCATCACATTTGCATTCATTTCCTGTCAAACCCTCAAAACCTTACAAAGCAACAGATGCTCTTAACAAATATGATATTCGACTTCTACATTACTAGCACCAGATCATATATTATGTGATTGAATATGATTTACAGCTGTGAGCTCTTGTACAGAAGCCAAATGTGGGCAGAGGGAAAAAAAACATTTTAAATGCAAAAATTAATAATAAAAGGCATCAAGGGATTACATATAAAAGAGATAACAAACCAGTTAATACCGAAATTATATCATATAGTAAAACTCTTGATATTTCTGTAATTTATATACTTATAATGTGTATTATTTCAGGTGTCACCCATAAACTAGTAAAATATTTACATCATAATATCTTCTGGATTCAAAATAATCCGGGATAAATAAATGTGCCTCAATTGCAAAGAAATATACATTTTTATCTTGAACTTGCCACGAATAGGCACAGCTTCCCGTGGGTTTTCTAGGGAAGTGCTGACATTCCATTCCAACAGAAAAGATACATAACAGTTACTTATCACGTGACCGAGTTGACCTCCCTCTTTGTGTTAAGTAAGGTGGAGCTCACGCCATCTTGTACACAGTCATATGGCCGTATCCCAAAATACCGTTTGCTGTTTGGAATAGGGTGGAGGGCTGCACTTCTTTGCACCTGCATTCTTCTTCCAGCTGGGTAGGATAGGCATGCTATCCTGTTTGCAAAGGCCCTTTTCCGTTTTCTGTCTAGCCTTTATTTCTTTGCACAAGCAACGTTTTTTCTCAATCATCTCAAGCATTGTATGGTCTCCATGAAACCACTGCATGCATGCCACCTAGCAAAAAAGAAAGAGTGAATACAGAAGAAAAAAATGGAATGAAAGCAGATTTTTCTTGCACTGTGCTAGCAGTTGTTTCGAAAAACGTCAGATGTTTCTATATCTTTGTAATTCTGATGAAGCAAAATTAAAGTATGGAAACTATAAATAAAATGTGCACTTAAATTTGTAAACAGTGTGATATTATTAAACAATAATTAGGATGTGAATATTTACCCAATATGTTATAAAAATCCACGATATAGAAATAAACATTTTTTTATCTTTGTAAGCAATTTGCCAAGTATTTAGCTATTACTTTTCTGTTGACTCCATTGTCTTAGAGGTCCCGGTATGTCTAAGTTCATTTATTGAAATTACTTTTCAGTGAGATCTTATATGAATGTGATATATTTTGAATATTTTAATGAGCATTTTTATTCTTGAAATGAAATTTGGGTTTGTTCATAAATAACATACAAAATTAACACTTTTAATAATTCTTCTACCAAAATGACTTTCAGTGTACATCTAATGCTTGGAACATTTAAGCATTTAGTGCTTAAATAATTCTTTTGCAAAGAAGTTTTGCTATACTTTTTGATGCTTCAGCAAAGGTCTAAGCATCATTGGCCTCTTCAATCATACTGCCACAGATCCCAATTAGTTCCAGCACTTCAGAGAAACAGAGTTATCAGGTCCATTGTGTACCAGGAGAAGATTCAGTGCTGGCTATATATTTATACACATTTATATATTTCTGCACAAATAAACACTGCTTCTAGGTATCTGTGGCCATGTCCACCAATAACTGTTTTTTAGAACAGAGCTAGCAAGTTGAGTCTGTCACACAAGGAAAGCAATGTGATCGGGCCATGAACCCAAGATGAGAAGGCTTCCACTTAATTGTTTAAGCAAATCCACTATATGACTTGAAGGGTTAAAATAGCTCACTTGGAATCACTGAATTTGATGTTACAATTTTAGGACAATAATCCAGAGCAAATACTTATATAGCACTTACTCTATTCCGGAATCCATTCTAACTACTGTGCATAGTGTAATTTATTCCTCACAACAATGATACTCTGAAGTTAAGTACTACTTATTAACCCATAACGATGAGTAAAATGAGACTTAGAGAGATTTAGTAACTTGCCCAAGGCTACAGAGCCAACAAATGGCAGAGTCAGGATTTGAACCCAAGAGTTCATCTCAAACACCATGCCTTTAACAACATTATACGGGCTCTCAATGTATATGCAGAACTGGGAAGGACTGAGAAGATAAATTTGTACAATGCCTTCAGTGTACAGATGAGGAAGCTAAAACTTCAACAAGTTACACATCTTGCCCAAAACCAGGCAGGCAGGTTTCGGTGTGAACAAGGCAAAAAGGAATTCACACGATTCCTAATCCTTTATGGAGAGGGCAGGACCTAGAACCTGAAGACAAAGATTCAAAGCCTGGATGTGTGAAATTGCCCCTAATCACTCCACTTCTTGGTTTCTTTATCTGAATAACTGAATTGATAATATCTCAATTTCAGAAGTCAGTGTAAGGATTAAATTGGATAATAAAGGTGAAGTCATTTTTAAAATCATTAAACCATTGCCCAAGTATTATTATTCTAATACTGACAAACACCTAGTAGTTTTTCACCCCTGCTGTCTGCCAAGCATGAGCAAACAGCTCTATTTACATTAAATCCGCCCAGCCACACTGAAAGGTAGGCTTTCTCTACAAACTAAGTGAGGAAGCTGGGTCTCAGAAAGCTGAAGGAGCTAGATCAAAGCCCTAGCTTATTATCCATGACACGAACTTATATAAAACTCAGATCTGACTCCAAAGTGAATATTCTCTCTACTACAGCATGTCCCATCTCCTGAATATTATCAAGAAATTATAATAATATTGTTGTGTGTACTACCACTTCCAGATACTACTCAAAAAATGCAAAAATTGGCTTTACAAGTGAATAACAAGTGCTATCAAATAAATCAAAATCAATGGCTTGGACTTGGAGTGCAGAAGATAATACTCTTAGATAAATGTCTTGTATGTACCTAACTTGATGTAAAGTTCCTTGAAAGGATGAGCTGTGTTTCATGCCTTTTGGTGTCCTCTAGCACAAGGCTCCGGGCCTGGGCCACGGCTGTTCATTTTATAAATGAAATTCTAGATGTTTGTTGAGTTAAGCTAACCAACAGGGTTTTGTCCCAATAGGAGATTGCCAAAGTGGCCCAGAAGTTTCTCAAAAGGTTCATATTTTATAACTTGATAATCTATGCAATAAAAATACAGTAACTCTATTTTGGTGGAAATACAAGCAAAATTTATTGAGTGACTGTAAACTGTCATAAATGGAATTTATAACACAGAATTCCCAGAGGGCAGGCCCCAAATCCCATCCATCTCAGTAGCCCCAACATGCAGTACAGAGTTAATAAGCTCTCAATAAAAGTTTTATGAATCAAAGAAGCCATCATCATTGAACAGTTTTTGTCGTCTCTGAGAAAACTCCCCAGATAATTTTCTTCTCAGTAAAATCTCACTGGATTTTACCAATTCCAATGAAATTACAAAACCTCCAACCGTCTTTAAGGTAAGATATTTACAGCATCGCTTCAATATTTGCATTGTATTTACTGGTCCACACAAACATTAAATCATTTATTACTTAATTTCCTTTAATATATTAAGGTTGTAACTCAGTACATGTGACTGCAAAATAATAATTTTCCTGGATTGCTCTGACAACAGTGTCACCGACATATTTCATAGCTTTCATGACATTTCATATATGTATAACTGCATTACCTATAATAAATATCTGTTTTCTGTCAATTAGAAGTTTATGCTATATGTGTGTAAATTTGTTAATAATCTACTCTTTAAAAATCTAAAGAAGTTTAAGAATAAAGAGTTATAAAGTATGGTTTTCATATTCTTTACATTTTTAGTTTAAAAGAGTTATATGTCCATTTGATTGATATGATGGTTTAAAATATTAACAGAAGAAAATCAACCCTTTTTTCAGACTGACTCTATAATGTTAAACTATCTTCTTTTTGGTGGCCAGATGTACAGAGAATACAAATTCTATGAGAAAGCATTGTCCAATACATGAAAGAGGGCTAGATATTCCAAGAGAATTCAAACACAGGTTGTTAGAAGATAGCAAATTCAAAATTTTAAAAAATAAATATTTTAACAAATCTGTCGAGTCTGGTATAGAATCTTCTCATGTCAAATCTGCTATCAAACATTTTTTCTTGTTTAAAATACACACGAAGTTATTAGTATTTAAGATGAGATGAATGAATGTGGAATGCTATTCACTTGGGGGAAGACAAATATTCCCACATTCACTTTTCAGTAGCACATGTTTTTCAATATTTCTTTCTAGAGAGGGCACATTCTTTTTAATTCCTGGAATTGAACACCAAAGTTCCTACCATGGCCATTTACATGGCAGAATCCCTCGCCCTAAAATGTGTCTAAAATTACATTTCACTCTAACAGTGAGATGTCGTGCTTCAATTCATTAGTTTGTACATAACAGATAGCATGTTTAGCAATTACATGAAGTGTCCTAAGAATACAATCCATAAGATATTTCATGACTTTCCCTTTTTTTTTTGTTTTACCACCAAATTCTTCATATCTGGTTTAAGTTTAGCTATAAAATCCCATTCTACTTCACCCTGGAGTTGAAAGAACTCTGAGATTTGATTTACAACAAGTATACATTGAGAGACAATTATAAAACAATTGTTCAATTAATATGAACATGCTTACATCTCTGGACAAGATTTTCATATTCACGTGATCCAGCAAAAGCAATATTCTTGGCTAATAAGTTGATGGAGACAAAATCAAGTACAGTATGAAAAGGGGGAGGAGAGAAAGTTAACAGTGGAGAAACCCGGCAGACACCACTTAGGCCACACCAGGTGATCAACAGTGATAGGTGATGTTGATAGTATGTACCCTTGATATTATGTGATGAGAAAGGCACATTACCTCTGTGGTCTTTCTCCCAAAAACCCATAACTCCAGTCTAACCGTGAGAAAAACACCAAACAAATGCAAATTGAGAGACAATTCTACAAAATACCAAAATCCTCAAAACTGTCAAGGTTATCCAAAATAAGGAAAGTCTGAGAAACTGTCACAGTCTAGAGAAGGCAACAGAGACATGATCACTAAAATTAACTAATGTGGTCTCCTGGAAGAAATCCTGAAACAGATAGATAAAAACTAAGGAAATTCAAATAAACTCTGAGCTTTAATAATAGTATATCAGTATTGATTCATTAGTTGTGGCAAATGCATTATAGTAATATAAGATATTAACAAAGGGGGAACTGGGTGTGGGGTGTACAGGAACTCTGTGCGCTCATCGCAGCCTTTCTGTAAATTTTAAACTCTTCTAAAATTCAAAAAAATATATTTTAAAAAATCACATGAATTTCCAAATGCTAGTTGTAACTATCTTTCATTCTTTAGGTGGAAACAACATGGTATAACAGAAAGAGTTAAAGGACTTGATTGGGATCCTAATTGTTATGTGACATTGAAAAGTCATATATCTCTCTGAACTTGCATGTACTTCCTATATACATTGTATATATATTGGTACATAATTCATATATACATGATAGATATATACATTTTATGTATATAGTACATATTTTATATATGCATTATGTATATTGGTACATACTTCATACTTCACATGTTTATAAGAGGCAGCACACTAAATAAAGCATGCAAAAGGACTGGGTAAGTATAAAGCCCCATACATTGTTAATGATCTTGTCTACTGATCCTTCAATGCATCAGGAATAACATAAATGAGGAGAAGTCTTTAATTCACTTCAATAATAATTGAAAATGAACTAAGCACTTCCTGATATTGAGTATATTTTACCCAAAGAACAAAGGAATAGTAATACCATCTGATAATAAATTTCCAAACTATTTATTTAAAATATTTAATTTTCCAAAATATA